ACAAAGTTTAACTAAGTTGCTGAATTTCTCATTATGTTGCTAAGGTAGGTTTCCAACTTGTGGTCCTTCTACCTCAGTCTCCTAAGTATCCAGGATTATAGGCATGCACCGCCACTCCCAGCCATACCAGAACTCTTTTAAGTATCAGCCTTGATACTATATCCCTTAGTCCTCTCTTCTATCTCTTGCCCTGTTCAAATTCTTTCAGTCATTCATTTTATGAAGTAAATTATATGCTTTGGTCATTCTGCTCAGAATAATGAAGTGGTCTATAAATTTAGAGTGGACTCTGCATCCTGATTGGAATTCTCCACTTCTATTCAGATCACTAAAATTATGCTTTTTAAGCATTAATAAAATGAAAATACAATGTCCTTTTTAATAAAGTGCTTTATTGAAATAAAAATTATAGGAATTATTCCTTCTCCAGCTGGCAAGCAAGCTAATTGAAAATTTATCACATATTCCTCAAGCCAGAAAGCCTTCCATATATTTTATATTGTATTTTGATACTAAATAAGCTTTATTTCCCATATTGGAAAAGTTAATGTGCTCACTAATCTAAAACTCTGTATAATTGACAACAAATATTCCAGTGGATATAAATTAGTAGGTTGTTCTGAACTTGAAAAAGAGGGAGGAAAAATGACACTATTTTTAAAAATGATAATATAATCAAAACTATAATACTCAAAAAGACCTTATGTTTTCAGGAACATTGTTCTAATAATATTGTATATAACAATATTAATTGGATATTGGAAGAAATCTATGATAAAAATCTTTACTAATTATGGTATTATTAAATATTAACCTGAGAAACTGTGGTTGTATCTCAGTGGTAGAATGCTTGCTTTGCATGTACAAGGCTCTGGGCTTACTTCTCAACACAAAATAAATTAAAAATATAAAAAATAAAACATAAACTACCATTTTTTGCCAAAAGTCAGAACTAATTATTCAGTTGAGATTACATATTACTGATAATTTTTTTGAAGTTTAAATACAAAGTTATTTTACTTTCCAAATGATGGTTTTATCTTATTTTTAAGCCTATACTAGATATTTCAAACTGTATTTCAGGTCAATCGTTAATGTTATAATAGTTTTTTTACCTTAGAATTGGTAACCTTTCAAAAATATATCTCCCCTTAAAATTTCAATTGAATTCCTCAATTAGCCCATATTTGGCAACTACAAGTTTTTTCTAAGCAACTTGTAGTGCTACATTTCCTTTGATGGCTGTAGTCATCAAATGCAAATTTGCTTAACAGATTTGTCTGACCTTCAATAATAAGCTATTAGACAGAGCTTTCAAAGCCAATTAAATGAACATCAAATTCCTTTGTGAATCAGAAATGTCCACATTGTGCAAAAGGATAATAGATCAGATGTATTTGCTAATACTCAACGTAAGAGACAGGTGTTTGGCTGTAGATAGTGAAAGCAGGGGACCAGAGTTTTAGATTATAGTCTCAGATTCTTTTAGCTGGAAGGGTACTTTAAATGCCGTCTAACATAATCACCATTTGAATATTGCACCTATGACCTCTATTCTTGTTTTGAATGCCCATATTCTCTTAAGGGAACACAGTGCTTCTTTGCATGTTCATTTAATTTCTCCTTTGGAAATCATTCATGCTCATATTGAAATCCAGAGCCTCCAAGAAAATGGAGAGAAACAAGATATAAACCAATTTAGAAAAGCAATATTAATAATTTATTATTAATAATTAACATTAATAATTTACTTGATGCAGCTAGTAAGTAGACATTTGAGACACAATTTAATTCAATTTTTCACTGATTTTTTTTCTATGCTGGTAACTTTAGTCATATGCAAAATTCCTCAGATTCAGTTGTTTGTCTCCTGAATCATTTTAGAATCTGTCTATGATAAGAATCTTTAGGGAACCCAAGGGAAAAGGTGAATTCCACCTAGACTTTTCTGTTTCCCTTAAACTATCAAGGTTACCATATATTCTCCTTGATTACTAGGCAGAAGAGAAATCTAGATTTATACCTGTGTATTGGAGACATGGTGACATAATTTATGTAATATTAAAAGACTTGGTTTTATGGTTTTAATTCTACCTTCAGGAAGCTTTATAATCACTGATTGAGTCACCATGCTACTCTGGCTCTCATTTTCCTCATCTACAAATGGAGAATAAATACAACTAAAATTCAGTGTTGTTGTGAGAATTAAAAGAAATAGTATAGAACATATAGCAAACTAAAACCCTTCATCTTGTCTCATTCTCCTTAAATACACTAGCAATGTGATTTGGGAAACTTAATGCATTAAATGAAAAGTAAATGGGTTAACTAACTCATATATACAAATTGTGCAAAATTCACAATATGCAAATATCATTTCAGTACAAATAAACTTTTAAAATTAAGGATACTGTCCCTCCTGTCACTTCAAACTCTTTAGGAGCCCAAGCAAAAATTGAAGATAGCATTATTATTATATTAAATAAAATGATATAAATAAAAACAAACAAATAAGAACAGTAGCTGTTATCTACTGGGTGTTATGTGCTAATCACTGTTCTCAAATACTTAACACATATATTTTTTCTCGTGCTGTTATGGCTGGGAACCAACTAATCCTAGATGCAGTATTCTTTCCTGTCTACTCTTGACACCCCGCAACCATCCACTGGTTTTATATTTGATGAAACATTAAAAATACATTTGGTATTATTTCCAAAGATCCTTTACAACTGCCTCAAGAACCATGATTTGGATTGTCAATATGCAGTAAGACATCAATTTCGTCATTAATCTTTGCTTGATACTGCAATTAGAAGGTTAAAAATTATTAGATTCTGATTTTGAATTATTCTTTCCATTTATGATGCTTTTTAGTTAGGAATTTTCAAAAATGCATATAAGCCTGACTATTTTCACTACATGTACTCAAGTATTTACAGCCATTTTAAATACGAACATAATATTGACATTTATTGATTCATTCACTGATTTATTCATTCAAATAATAATAAAACACCTATCATTCTATATACTACTCTCCTTTCATAACAGTGAATTCCATCTTTTGTCAAATATGTCTTGACACAAGATACTTTTAAGGCTTTGAAAAAACAACAAAACCCTCTCTTTACTTCTCATTATTTTATCTTTTATTGTTGCTTTCTTCTACTGTATTTACATATTTCCTTTTCTCACAAATTCCTTTCTCCCTTTTACTACAGATTTATGAAGCAACTACCAAGTCATTTTCTGCTTCATCATCTCTTACTAATTAACACTGCTAACATTAGAAGCCTTAGATGTCTACCTCTTCCATTGAAATAGGAATTTTAGTACTCTCAGTTACAAATCATGACAGTATTTGCTGAATTTTACATGATGGTTACTGTTTTTGTTTATACTTTTTGAGAAAAATATATCCATCTTACAGGAGTTTGCAAATACCATCAAAATACTTTCATATCAATATGCATGAGCACTATTTTAGCTTTCTTAATAAAATGTCAATGCATAGCAAGTTTGCCCTTGAAACTTTTTTCCTCCAAAGAGTACACTTAAGTTAAAAGGTAAGTATGAACTCTTTATGTTACATATAATAAACTTGATTTTCTACAGTGGTGAGAAAAAAAAGAAGTAGGTTTTATAAATTCTAACCCTTTCTTGCATAAGTTTGAGTAAGATAACATGGAGATAAATTACTTGAGCTCTTGACTCTAGTAGTTCATACAATACCATTATATATAAGTGGGCTTTAGTACCCTCTCTGCTTGCAACTCTATTTCCTCTCATTATGTACTTATTAAAAGTTTTTCTTTAAAGTCCCTTGTTGTCATGAGCCATCCATGGGCTATGTATGTATGAGCTATGCGCATTTGATCATATGAGGGGACTGGCCTAATGTTACTGCCTGATTGGGCTATGTGACCTATGTGTCCTTCTCACTCTGCCTATGATACCACACAGCTCCTGAGATTAGTGTAGCTTTCCAAGATGTCAGTCAATCTGCTGACCACCACAATACATCACCAAGTAAGACTCCACCCTTCGAAACCCAATCCCTTGCCTTATTTGGGTGGATCTGTCTTGAATGTCTTTCCCCTAAATAAAAACAGGGGTTTAGGGTGTGCTCTCTCTCTTGCCTCTTGCCTCCCTTGCTCTCTTTGCTTTCCAGAATAGGAGCTGAGGTCTCAGAGCCATCCCTGACACCCAAAAAAGGTATTTCTGGGTGTGTGTGTGTGTGTGTTTTGTTGTTGTTGTTGCCAGCCCAGCCATACTCGGTCCCAAGTCACAAACCCTTCAGTCTAAAGCAGTATATCTTGCTTCAACCAAGCAAATGTTCCATCTATATAACATCTATGTTGGAACTGTCTTTCAATAGTTTTTCTTTCATTTCCACAGTATTCCTAGACAGAATCTTTATTACCTCATATCCACTTTACGGTAACCTACCTGGTCTTTTCCCTCAGCCTCATTTTACTCCAACTCATCCTGGTACTTAACTCTATTAATATTTCAGGAAGTTCCTAATTGCATTTCCACAAGAACTGGCCTTTCATCATTTCCAATGACACTTGTTTCTCTGAACCATGAATTTGTGTATTGAAGGTTTGACACTAAGTCATGAAATATCTCATTTTATTGCATAATTGTTTTATGTGCATACTTCTACCTCCCCAGCACAGCAGAAACCTCCTTCTAGACAGAAAACATGTCTTAGGAGCTCTGACTGAAATGACATATAACTGAGTCCTGAATTTTGTGAAGTCTCTCTTAAATTAGAGCCCTCAATGCATTAGCATAATGATATGCACCCCATACAAACTCAAAAGCCACATATTGAAAGCCTGCAATATGGAGCTTTTTAACAATCACATAGTAAATCTGCTTAACAAGCGTCAAAATATCAAGAGCCTCAAAAATGTTTTCAGTAAAAAATCTTGTCATTTCTCTAATAAGTAAACACTAGTTCAATGTAATCGTCAACATGAGTTACTTACCAAGGCAAATTTTTTGTTGAGAATCATCTGCTCCACCAAAGATGACTCATTATGGAAGAGATGGGGCTGCATATGACTCCACATATGAGGAAACCACCAGAACTCATCAACAGACCCCAAAAGACAGTCATCCCCTTCATCTTCCTCTTCAGTTCCTTTAGGGGGGAAGTGATTATTTAATTAATTCCAGTTACACTATTCTGCCACTATCTATCTATCTATCTATCTATTTATCTAATTTATACTCTTATATATTACATTTACACTACCTTACATACATATAAGGATTTGAACATAAAATGTAACAAAGCAAAATCTGTTATGCAAAAACCAGTGATTGTTATAAAGCAGTTTTTAATATGGTTAAACGAGACATGGATGTATATAACCACTGCAAGATGGATGTATGTCCACTCCCAAGGACATTAAAACTCTTCTCTTTTAGCATCTTTGTACAATTTGTAGTTTGAAGAAAATGGGGGAAATAGAAAATGTAACCATTGGAATTTAAAGTATGGAAAGTTGTGATAGAGCCCTAGTAGTAAATCATTTTGACATGGGTTATATATACAGTCACAACAAAATAATTTCATAATTCATTTGGGTCCCTCAGGAAACCATGTCATTTAAGATTAAGTCAGTTATTCATTGCAATTTTCACACTGAAAATAGGCAAAAGTCTCTTGGGATTTCTCAGTAATCAATTCATTGCTGATCTCTATCTCCCCAGGAATACGATTGTGGGTAAAGTAAACTGAGGGTCCCTAGTTTATAAAAAGTCTCTTGCCAGGTGCTTTTGCATTCCATTCCTTGTTACATAGGACTATCTTTTCCTGAATCTATTTTGTCATTTCTCCTTCACTCATTTTTCTTTGTTTTCGTTTTCTTTTTTTTTATTGGTTGTTCAAAACATTACAAAGCTCTTGACATATCATATTTCATACATTTGATACAAGTGGGTTATGAACTCCCATTTTACCCCATATACAGATTGCAGAATCACATTGGTTACACATCCACGTTTTTACATATTGCCATACTAGTGACTGTTGTATTCTGCTATCTTTCCTAATTAGACTTTGCTCAAATTTATTTATGAAGACAGAGTGACTCATCTCAGTGATCTTCAGAAAGACAGCTCAGACATTACCCTTTCCTGTACACCACGGTGAATCTATGAGTAAAATGTGTGTACACTGCAATCATGCAGGGGTTAGACAAACAACGTCTGTCTGCCCTCCAACTGATTTATCTTAACTCACATAGTAGGCATAGTAGTAGGTCTGTCCTTTTTTTCTTGATAGCTCTGTTTTATCTGATTTTCTTTAACCCCACTTTAGGGATGTTATAAATAAAAAGTAATTATATTGAGAACAATTGCCAAACATTATGATTAAAAGCAGCTGAAATGTAGTTGTTCATGGTTGGATTGCCTCAGCATCCTGCTGTCCATTTTTTCTCCAGCTCTGCCCTCCTTGTCAAACTGGAGGTAGAAGAAAGAGAAGTCAAATTCGTCAATTTTTAAAGACCATTTCTGAAGTTCTTACAAAACTTGCTTACAAAGTTATTGCAAATTATGATTTATTATACTATTTATCTATTAAAAAAAAACTTTTTGCAGTATTTTATCAGCAGTATTTCCTTCTCTGATATTAAAAAGCTTCCTTGACTAAGATTTACCTTGTTCCAAGAACAATGTTATATGCTTTACTCCCAGTGTCTCTGGAGGCTAAAGCAGGAGGCTCACAAGTTTAAAGCCAGCCTCAGCAATAGTGGAATGCTCAATGAGACACTTTCTCTAAAAATATACAAAATAAGGTTGAGGATGTGGTTTAGTGGTCAAGTGCACCTGAGTTCAATCACTGGTCACAAAGAAAAAAAAAAGTTACATTTTTTACAACATCATTTGATTTAATTCTCATAACAGCCCTATGAGCTCAGAGTCATTGCTAAATCCCATTTACAGGTAAAGAAATTGGTCTCTAAAGAGATAAAGTAACTTGTCCCAACTCACTGAAAGTGCTGGGACAGAACCTGAATCTAGAACCTGAATTCTAATTCATATGAAGCAATTCCAAATTCAGAGCCCCAGCTATGATTCATTGGACAAAGGAGGAATAAAAAGTAAGATAAAAATTTCAATTCAATATCACAATCTTTTGATGTTTTAGTAACTTTTGATGCAAATAAATTTACATATGTATTTCTCTATGTGATTTGGTGAAATAGGTCAATCTAAAGATTCTATAGATAAAAAGAATCTTTTGCCATTTGGCTCCGGAATTAACTGTTGCCAAATAAATAACAAATATTCAGTTTTTCTAATACATAAGAATTGGGCTCTAGCTGATTTAGGATTAAGACAGGTTTTTGATACTTAATAATTTATGACTATGGCACCTTTAAATTTTTATGATCTTATCTAGAAAGTGAGTTACATACTATATAACTCCTAGGATTCATTGAATAGGTACATGAAAAGTGTTTAGCAATGTACATTGGATGTAGTTATTCCTCACTATAAGAGAAGTTTGATCTTTATTTCTATCTCTATTTCTCACCAAAATGCACAACCCTTCAAAACTTAAAAGAAATCACATAAGTAACGCTTTTTCCTGAAAAAAATTCTTATACTATGACAGTGCAGCTTTTCTCCTTACATTCAAGAAAAGTAAAATGATAGAATTTTTAATAGAAAAAATTAATTATTAATTTAGAAAGGAAACAATGTAATTAAATTTTATAATATCTAACTGTTGAAAGACAGTGTATTAAATGTTATGTGCTTCCACTGAAAAATTCTTCTACTGGTCATAAGACAACCCTGGCCACAGTTTTGTGTAAGTTGTCATATTTTACACAGATAAAAAAGCCTTTGAACCTTGGTCTTAGCTTTCTCTTGTGTTTTACTTTCCCTGGCTTAGAGAGAGGGCGCTTTTATTGTGAGCTATGAGAAATGCCGAAGCAAAGGAAAAATAGAGGACAAATCTTTCACAAGTAAGAAAGGAGAGGGACAGGCAGAATAATTTTCATGCATTCAGTGTTTGGTGAGAAGAGAATCGAGTTTCTAGGAATATTTGCTTGTACTGCCTTGATGAGTTTAGGTTTTCCTAGGTTTCCTACTATGGTTCTTCCAAAAATCTTCCTCTCTGCCTCACTGATAACTACATATTCTATATGTCCTTGATCTCACTCTGGGGATTCCTTATCTGTATATTAACTTTTAATTTTTTCAAAGGATGTCAAATAATCTACAATAAGCACACTGAAATTAGGATAGATTTAGAAAGAGATTTCATAATAATACTCTTTTATTGCTTTAAGTTTGTGGGGATCCACATTGGCAAATTTAGTGGTGCTAGAAAGATGAACTGAACTTTTGCACATTAAAAAAAAATGTTTTCACTTTATATATCTATACCAACGTAGTAGAACTTTACTGTAAACGAGTAATTTAGAATATGTCACTGTGTTTTCATTTTTGAGGTTATAATAAATACTGAAATTTGTGTCAATAATAATAGAAAGTTAAACCATGATTATGGAATTCCCAGTAAATCTTTAGAATAATCACAGAAAAGTGTATATTTTATTATTATTTTTTATTTTTTGGTTTTGATTTGCTTGTGTGTGTGTGTGTGTGTGTGTGTGTGTGTGTGTGGTACCAAGAAAATAAACCAGGACCATTCTATCACTGAGATACATCCCCAGCCCTTTTTACTTTATTTTTTACAGGATTTCACTATGTTGCCAATGCTGTCATTGAACTTTCAATCTTCCAGACTTAATCTCCCAAATTACTGGGATTACAGGTATGCATGGCTTGAAAAGTTGTCTTTTATATATTTGTTTAAGTAATTAGAGTAATAAGGCTTTCAGAGCTTCCTATGTTAAGGTCATTCTTAGAGCTCAGAAAAATTTCAAATTAAGAAGCAAAGTCATGGGGCTGGGGCTGGGGCTCAGTGGTAGCACACTTGCCAAGCATGTGTGAGGCACTGGGTTCGATTCTCAGCACCCCATATAAATACATAAATAAAATAAAGGCCTATCAACAACTAAAAAAAAATTTTAAAAGAAGCAAAGTCACACACAGTTTTATGAAAATACATAGTGGATGAAATACACTTTGTGTGATATAAAATATATCACAGTCAATTCTCACAACACTGCAACTTCCATGAAAACAAGTGAAAATTCACTTATTACAGAAATGTAATAAGTGTTACTTCTATTTAAAAATGAAGTTACTATTGAATTTCCTTTATGGAAATGAAAACAGGTATTGTTGATATTAAATGTATATAGGAAGAATTATCACCATAATAATCTTGTTAAACCCTTGAAGGTACACATTACCTATACACAAAAGAATTCATATTATCAAAGTAAAAAATTAAAAGCATTTAAAATTATGGAAAATGTGCTAAAATATAAAGTCATTTTAAAATTACTTATCATTTAATTCATAATTTAATTGAATGGATTATATATGTATAATGTAAAATGCAGAATGAACAGTGAAAAGTAACTAATTTTCATCCTTGTCATTCATTTCCCAAATTTTCTTCTTCACAGATACCATTCAAACCATCTTATTGTGAATTTTGCAGAGACATCATATATCGGTACCAACAGCTGTGCAACTATGAGCAAACTAGCCATTCTATATCTCAGTTTCCAGATGAATCACTGATTTATAAATTCTAAGATTGTAGAAAAATTTAATTTTACTGTGATACGTAGTTATTTTTTAAAGAAGAAACAAAAAGGTAGCAAAAAGGAAAGAAAAAGTAAAATGAAAAATGTTAAAATTAAATATTTTTCTACATCAAAATCACCATTAGGAAAGTGAATAGACTACTCAGACAGTGAGAGAAAAGTATTCGTAACACAAGTAATTGAAAAAGAGCTCTGTGTTTTGTAAGGGTTCTGTGTTTGGGATCGGGGTCTCTGATAGCTTCATGACATGATTGGTGTTACTCTACCATTTCAGATTCTTTCCTTCTTTCTTTAGTGGCATGCTTGGTGGCTAGGAAAAATTCTGTGCAAAGACACAGGATGCCTAGCTGCTGTAGCAATGCCCTGCATGAGGAGGCTCTATGCTAGAGTCTTTTCAGACTCAACATTTATCTAAGGCACTCAGCTCTTGTGAATAAAGAAAATTTCTTATTAGACAACCACAATGTTGCACCAAGCTCTGCTGTGCCTGAACTTGTCCACAAAACAGTAACTTTAAACAATGGGCTTTCTTGAGAGCTATACAAAGCTCCTAACATGCACATCACAACTACAGTATGTAACTGAGGAATAAGCTGCATAATGCTGCTAACTCTGTAACCTGCCTAATGACACAATGAGCAATAATGTACTACTGATGCCACTGATCTAATGTAACTTATTGATTATGAATAAAGCTGTCAGCTTGGACAAGGGGCTTTTTCTAACATTCTGCTACTTTGCCTCTGCATCTTGTCTCTCTACCTCTGTGTCTCTTTTATTTTTCTTACAATGTTTGCACAGAGAATTTCTATAAATCAACAATAAAATCTAGAAAATAGAAAAAAAATGCTTCTCAATAAAGGTATTAACAGACAATAAACATAATAAAAAAGCTTGTATGCTAGACATCAGAAAAATATATATAAAAACATAATATGACATTTCTATATGCCTACTAGAAAGGCTAAAATTAACAAGAAAAAATCAAACATTAACAAGATTTTAGAGCAAGATTTTAGAACACTGATACTATTGAAAATATAAATTGGTAAAACAAATTTGAAATATTTGTCATTTTTCAAATTTGATTATCATTTTCTGTTAAATCTGATCATATGTTTGCTATACAACTAGAAATTCCACTCCCTGCTGATATCCAATAGAAAAAAATATACTTAAGTTTCTGAAGGACAGGTATAAAGATTTTCATACCAGGTCTATTAAAAACAGCCAAGTCTAGAAATAATGCAGTCATCTATATTGGAATGGAATGGATAAAGAAATGTTTGTATATGCAAATAACGGAATACTACAAAGCAATGAAAAATGAAGAAATAAACCTATACATAATAATATCTATGAAACAAAAACAGTTGAACTAAAAACTGGTAACAAATGAGTTATTTTACATGTATCTCAAAAGGAGGCAAATCTCAGATGGTATCAGAAGTGAGTAAAATAATTCTGTTTGAGGAAAACTAATGACTGTAAGGGAGTATGAGGTGGCAGTGCTCTGGTTTTGTTACCTTATTTGATCTCCCTATGAATTACACAGATGTGTACAGTTTGTCAAAATTAACTGAAGAGCCCATCTAGTATTTATTCATTTTAGATACATAAATTATAATAATAAGAAAGAAGTTCATTAGATAATATCATAACCTTTCAAGTGATAAACAATTTTAATGGTTAAAATAGTATGTTAGATGGGGTCAAATTATATGGAAAATAGAGGAAGTACATATGGAATGTAGAGGTTTACTATTTTAAATAGAGTGGTCAAAAAAAAAAAAAAAGCCTTATGAGAATACTTAATCTCTTTTTCTTACCTGTGTGGTAAAATTTTCCTGAAAATCCCAAGTTGAATGTAAAATTTCTGATTTGTTCCCGCAAAAGATTCTGAGTCTCAAGCAGGGCCTGTAATATAGAATTTTTTAAAATGTATGAGGTCAAGAATGACATTCAGACATTTTTAAAAGACATCTTCCTTTTGCAGGTATAGAATAAAACCACTTTTTTATACTTGGCCCAATTAAATGATGGAAAGTAGTTATCACTTTAAAATTAGAGAGATACTTTTAAGATTACATAAACATAAATATTTTTATCCTTTAGCTTATAATAAATCAACAAAAAATTTCAGCTAAGAAGGGGAATTTAAGTGAAAAGTTTAATCTGTGTGCAGAAAAGGAACTTGCATGTAGTATGTAAAATATGTATCTTTTATCACCCAGGGACATAGATAACGAATGTCAAAAAAATGTCACTCAATTTAAAGAAAGCTATGTAACATCGAATGAGGAAAGAAGCAAATTGTTATTTCTCAGATACATTTTTGGCCTTCAAAATGCAAGACTTTTCTATCTTAAATCTGAGAGTCCCAAAAGATGATGACTGCTATTCAAAAAAGGGTATGGGTATCATGATAAAGTAAATCTCTGATTTGTACTTTTTTTAATAAAACAAACAACAAAATGCACTATTTCTAACAAGTAAACAATTTTTGAAGTAAAGTTTTGCTCTATCTATACAATTGTGTTATATATTTATGTATTTTGTTCTATGTTTATGCTACATAAATAAATATATATGTTATATATTTATAACAGGTTGTGACTATTTAGTGTACTTTTCATTCTTGTACTTTTCTTTCTCATTATTTATATTCTATTTTTTATATTCTTCCTCTGCCTCTCTGCAACATGCACATGTGTGTGTGCAGACACACACACGAGCACACTATAGTAGTTGAGTGCTCACCTCAACTGGACAAAAAGTAGCGATGTTAGATTGGTTAAGGAGATTGGTTAACACATCTTTTACACCTGAGGAAAGTTCGGACAAATGACTTGCTCTTTTTTCACAGATAAACTTAGTGGTGGATCCTAGATTAAAGATATATATCCAAATTTTGTTCTCCTTTTACTCTATCATTCCAGATCCTTTCCTTCTTTCTTTAGTACAGGTGGGGCCATAACTAAATCTTTTTTTTTTCTGATATCAGAGTGACAAGTGGAAACCCTGCACTATCAGATTCATATTGTTTCAATCATGTTCATTATGTTTCAATCTTTGGGGATAAACAAATAATCTCTTTTTATTTGGTGATCATCTGAATAAAATGTATGATGAGTTATGTGTTAAGGGAAGGAAAAGAGCTTTTATTAAATTTAAACTCATCTGATCAATAACTGAATACCTTTCTATCACTTTATTTAAATGAACAACTTCTTTGGTGTACATAACTGAGCCATGTATTATATGGAAACAGATGACACTCAAAAATTAAAGTAGGCCTGTTAGTAGATCTGCACACCTCATTACAGGAACAAGATTGACTGATGGTCATGCCACTGGGGACACACAGGTCTTGCCCTTACCAGGGTAGGGCATGGGTTAATCATGGGAAACAAATTGGTAGGCATAATGAAGTGAGGAATGGGACCTGTAGGTGATAAACTGGAGTATGGTAAGCTGGGAGTTGCCTGGGTGAACAGTTTGAACTTCTCTATTTCTTCTGGAAGGAAGATCAGGTGAGGAATGTGAAGGTGTAAATGAAATTCCACCTCTGGTACTTATATTGCAGTTATTAAGAGGACAGGTTTAGAGGTCAGATGGCCTCAGATGGAATTCTGGATCTGTCCTTATTCTTCTTTGAGCATGTTGTTAAATAACTCTAAGAGTCAGTCTCTTCATTTATAAGGTAGGCATAGTAATAATTACCTCAAAGCTCTGTTGTGTGAATTAAATGAAATAATTCATTCATGCCCAGCAATTATTAAGTGCTGCTCTTCTGTTATTGCTGCTGATACTATTACAACTACTCATATGGTTATTATTATTAAATGATATAGGAGAATTCACATTACCTGTCCAAACTTTTTCCTTCATCTGTAAATTGGAGACAGTGATCTAACCCATGGAATACTAATACAGATTATAAGAAATAATATATAGCTGGGTGAAGTTGTGCACACCTGTAATCCCAGCCACTTAGAGGTTGAGACAGGAGGTTTACAAGTTCAAAGCCAGACTCAGCAATGGTGAGGTGCTAAGCTAAGACAGAGTCTATAAATAAAATACAAAATAGGGCTGAGGATATGGCTCAGTGGTTGAGCACCCCTGAGTTCAATCACATTTAAAAAAATAATAATAATAATAGTAATAATAATAATAATAATAATTAAAGTAAGTTGGAAAACTTTTTAAAAAGTATCATAAAATATTAGATGTTGATGCTGTAATTGTCAGAAGTATCTATCATCTGCCTACCCCTATACCTATCTACCTAACTATCCATCCATTTCATTTACTTTTTAGAACCTTTTACTCTTTATTTCATTTATTTAATTCATTTATTAAATATATTTGTTTTAGTCTTCCCCTACTCTGCCCATCCCTCTAGGCTCTTCACCTCAGGGGAACGTTCTATTTGAGTCTTCATATCTTTCTCTCCTCTTATAACTCTTATATTTCTTCTTTTCCCATATTTATCTCTTCGTTTTATTCCTTATTCCCCTTTCATTGGTTAAAATAAAGATTTGAAATACATTCTAAATAGTGCTTTGTGTTATTAAATTTTTCTACCTTAAAATTAGGTAAGGCTGACATTCTTTCTGCCTTTTATTTTTTTTTCACATTAAAGTTGAATTTGAACTTTGCTTTGTAATCTTCATTGCCTTTCTAGTGTACTTTTAATAATTTTGATAGAAAGTAAATGAATCTATCCTGTTCTTAGGCCTTAGCTGTTAAAGAATGTATAATATATTTAGGAATTAGTCCCTTCATAAACTAGAATGAATTAATTCCAATTACTGAATTAGCCCTAATTTTTCAGGTTTTATTTGGAAATTTTACACATTTACTTGATATTCTAGAAACAAATATGGAAATATTTAAAAGATATACTGAAACAGATAGCCCATACTGAAATCCCTATGTATGGTGAAGAGGAAAACCTATTTCAAGATGATATTTTATATACTTAAGCCATAATATTTCTCACATTTAAATTATTCTTATAAACCAGTTTGGGAATTTGTCTATGATAATAATATTAAATACTATATTTATCCATTATTTCCAACTATTCAAAATATGCATATCACTGGCCTGTTCAGTGCAAGAAGCTTAAGCATCAGCAATATTTTTAGGCCCTTATCCTTTTCACTAAATTCATTACTAAAATGGTTTTATTATTATTCCATTTTAAACTAAAATATTTTATTCATTACTGTAAAGAAAATGCTGTAAAATTATATAAGTGATACTTTGCTTTATTATCTAAAATAACCTGATAATGTCTAAAAGTCTAATCAAAAAAAAATAAATCAATGTTATCACACTATATTCAAACAACTCATAAATTTCCAGAGCAATCTCTGATATGCAGAGCCCCTGGGCTATGGAAAAGGGAAGTAAATAAGCTCCCCTAACGTGCACCATTTATTATTCTCCTCAGTACCAAGCAAAAACTTTAAGAATATAGATATCTACTTTGAAAACTAGTTTGACTTTTGAAAAATAATCCTTCCTTAAGATGTTTCAAAATAAATATTTAGGATAATCATTGATTTTTTTTTTTTAAATAACATATTTTCCAATGAAAAATTAAAATCATTAAAAATAAATAATAAGGATTCTAGTGAGTTCCTTCCATTTTTCAATAACTAAATAAATCCATGAATATTTCAGATATATGGAGATATGGATAAATTAAAACCATAATGCCATGTACAAATATGTATTTATATACAAATGAAGCAGAAATTTCTATAGCAGAAAATAATTCAATGTATTCTTCATAAAACAAAACTGCTTTGCAGCAAAATTTAAAATGCTTATTTGATGATTAAAAAGAAACAAGCCATAAAAAATATGAGAATTGCATTTTATATGCAACTCTCCAAATAACATTTCAAAGTTATTTTTTCAAATTTGAGTTTGTACAGTTATCCCACTAACGTCTTAATTTTTAAGTCCTCATTCTACAAAGCCAAGTACATTCCCAAACATTAAAAGATCTAGTTACAAGCAAAAGAAAGATCTAATTTAATAAAATTAATCTTTGAGAATTAAGCAAAATGGCAGTTTTGATACATTTTTGAATTTTATCTAACTTTCTTTAAGAGAATAAATATAAGAAACAGTAAATCAGTGACAAAAATCAAAATTAAATGTAATTGCAAAAACGTCATACTGAGATTTGTGTTAGTATTCATCACATGTGTGACATTCTTTGGGGGAACATCTGCTGATTTTTATATTTTTTTATTTTTCTTCCTAGATTATATTTTTACTTATTTTATTGCCTGTAAGTCAACAATCTGTGTTGGTAAGCCATATTAAAGACAGGGAAGAAATTTTATTGTCAAATAGGGTTTTTCAATAGAAAGAAAAACATTGTTTGAATACAAAATTACAATTAAGACATTTTAATTAATCACATACTACTTATTTTATCATAAATATAAATTTTTATATCTGCTAAAGCAAATAAAAGCAATTGGGCAACTTAAATTCCTGTGGGACTCCACCCATAAGTTATTTGAGTTTATTTTAGCATCTTCACTGGCCTTGAGCCAGGAAGATTTAAGTTTGGCATTACAAACTATGTTGTGGTCCCTCCCACTCAATGGATTGCCCAATGCACTTGACCTCTGTCTTTGCTTGGCTAGGGAGACAGCTTTCATAGCTCCAGAGTGGGGCGTAACCCTTTGGAAATTGGACAGCCCACCTCCTACCTTATTCAGCAAAAGAACATTCCCTGGAAAACTTTTGATGCTTCTCCCATATAAACAAAGCAGACTCGAGCTTTCACTCTCTTTCCAGTGTGGAAGCTTGATCCTGAGAGAGCTGTGCCACCCCCTTTCTAAAATTACTTCCTGTGTCCTGTGGTATCTTCACGATTTTCTCTT